TGCTCCTTGGGGGGGGCAGCACAGAGCTGTGAGGCCTAAGGAACGTAGGTCCGATGAGCACAGGAGAGAAGGAAGCACAGGTGGAGTGGGGAGCAGTGGTGCTCACATGATCCTGGGGACAAATGAGGGCCCAAAAGGATGGGGAGTCCCTGAGTGGGTCCCTGCAGAGGGAGTCAAGGATCACGAGCCCAGGCTTGGTGGGGAGAAGCCCCTCTGGCAGGCAGCCATCAGCACCAGAAGTCACTGGGAAGGGCAAGCCAGGCCACACCCCTAGCCCGGCTACCCATAGTCCCTTTGCCTTCCACTCGGTCATGGGGCATGACCCCGTCAGCAGGGAAGGGGCCTAGCATTTGCTAAGGAGGCCCCCCACTGGGGCATCATCTGATTCTGCACTGGCTGACCAGGGACCCATCTGGGGCCCGTGCTCTGGGCACAGAGGGACGTGTCTGGCTGCCGCGGAAGACTGAGTTTCCTGGACCAGCCTCACACACAGTTTCCACGTGATGAGAGTCTTGGCTTTTTTCCTTCCAAAATGGAATGAGTACATAGATTGTGTCCCACTGTTATTTATTTACTTTGTTTGAAATGCTCACTGCAAATGTAAATTCAGAACGCATGGGAACAAATACAAAGATGAAACCTAAAATCAGACTCGTTTCTACACCCGCCCTCGGAAGGGCCGGGAAATTGGAAGCAGGACTTTAAAGGGGACTCAGCCCCCCACTGCACATCTGAATCACCTGGACAGCTTTTTAAGGACAGATGCCCGGGCCCTACCACAGACCGTAGATGAAGCTCAGCATCCGGGCTTCATAGCTACTGCTTCTGCGGGTCTGGGAGGCAGTGCAGGCCTCGCTGCTGGGCTCCTTGGTGCACGTTTCCAGCGAGGCCGCAGGCTGGCTCAGCGGCCAGGTAACCCTGCATCTCCGCCTTCAGGTGTTTGCTCTCAGGCTCCTGCCAGAACATTCTGAAGAAAAGCATGGCTTCAGGAGAGAAATCCACAAAAGAGAGGAAAAGGGAATTTCACTCAAATTTTTCAAGACATGTCACAAGCCTGGTTGGAGTCTCAGCATTTCACCCCGTCCACGTGGCCCAGCAGGGCAGGGCCCTGGGGCCTATGTCCTTCCCGACTCATGAAGGCGATGGAGCAGAACTTCCCAGCCCCAGACCCTGCCTCAGACACTGTCCTCCTGACCCCTTAGGTGTGGAGATAGCGCAGTGCCTGTCACCTCTGGTGCAAACACCACCTCGTTGAAGGTCTCGCTCCATCATTCCATCCGGGTCCCTCCAGATCCTCCTTCCCACTCAAAACTCTAAGCGTCGATCCCAAGGCCCCCCAAATGGACCCTCAGATGGAAAACCAACATCACAGAGGTAAGGGGCTTCTAACGAATGAATTTCCACAATTAAAAATGAAATGCCTGGAGAACCATTTCATTTGAGTTCCGGAGTCTCAACGGTTTCTTATTTTTGTCCCCTTCTATGTTCCCAGCTGTTCTCCACTCAGCACACCATGGGTCCAATTAAATGAACAGAAACTGGCTGGGAAAGGGTGTGGTGAGCTATCTGGTTGAAGCCCATCTGCGAGGCGAGGGGGCTGGGAATGGTGTGGGGAGTGAGCGGGCCCCTCCCCGACTTCGCGTGTGTGGTTTCTGCATCTGCTCAGGCTGCAGGGATGGGATGAGCCTCCGTGCGTGGAGAAAGAAATGCGGAAGTACACAGCCCGAGTTAGGCCTGCGGGGGCTGAACGTAGTAGCAGAGGGTGGTCCCCTGACCTCCGCGCGTCCAGGGTCTCACCAGGCCCCCACTCGCAGTGCGGTCTTAGGGCCCTTGGCCACTCTGAGCCTCAGTTTCTTCATCTATGTAATAGGAATGATGAGCAGAATGTAGAGTGGTCGGCAGTGGCCCTCCCCAGAGACTTCCACATCCTAAACCCCAGGACCCGTGCATATGCTAAGTCACATCGCAAAAGGAGGTTTCTGTTGAAGACAGAATTAGCCTTGCTAAGCACTGATGGAAAATACACTGGATTCTTCCGGGTTACCTGGGCCCGTCTGGTGTAATCATCAGAGTCCTCAAAAGGGGGAGAGGGAGGCAGAAGAGGCAGTCCGAGTGGGGTGTGCAAGGACTTGCAGGCCATCGCTGGCTTCGAAGGTGGAGGAAGGAGCCGCGAGCCAAGGGATGCAGGTGCCTCGAGAAGCTGGAAAGGGCAAGAAAGTGGCTTCTCCCCTAGAGCCTTTGGAAGGAACACAGCCCCACCAATGCCTTAAATGCAGCTCAGTGAGACCACCTGCAAAACCAATTTGTTTCTGCGCCCCAGAACTGTGGGATAATGCATGTGTGTTGTTCTAAGCCACCAAATGGGCACCAATGTTACAGAAACGGCTGGAAATGAATCCACGCACCTCAAAGTGTTGTGGGTATTAAACAGCCGTGTGTGTAGGCAGCGCTCAGCACTCCGGAAGTCCTCGAAGAATGTTGGCTATTTCTATCACTTGAGAGGGATTCAGGGATTGGTGGCACCCACCTCCCCATGGTGCCCCACTTCCGAGGCTTCCCGCAGCCCCGGGAGCAGCCAGTGGGGTGCACCTACCAAAGATGGCCCGGGGAGGTGGCAAAACTGGGTCCTGCCACCCCTGTGAGCAGATCACCGACCTGGCCATTCTTGCTCATTCAGCAGGGCCTCGCAGACTGAGGTTGGAGGGAAGCCGTGCGCTGCTTCTCCCAGCACCAGATCCGGAGCAGCCGCTCTCGGCCCTGGTGGCACCAGGTCACTCCGAACCTTGAGTGGCAGCGAGTACCAGTCATTCTAAAAGCTCCCCACACGGTGGTTTTCGTGGGCAGCCAGGGCTGAGAACTTAATCTAACCTAGAAAGAACGTTGACGAAAGATCTGCACAGCTGACCTTTATTATTTAGATAATAATCGAATGGCAACAGCACGGTCACCGTTTGCTGATAGCACCCTGGGCTACACAGCTCCTCTGTGCTGTTTCTGAAGCCCTTAAACGGGAGTCGGGGTGATCATACTGCTTTACAGAGAAAACTGAGGTTCCGAATGTGGAGAACCTTGCCCGAGGTCACTCGGTTAATCAAGGGAGGGAGCCCGAATTTCCAACTGCTGGAGAGCCACGCTCTTCCCCTTCGGCAGGAGTGTGTGAATCCTTGCCCAGCTCTGCAGCTGCTGGCAGTCCCTCAGCGCCTCCAGTGCCCCAGGGGACTGCAGGGACAGACGACAGACACCCAACTCCTGCTCAGAGGGCGGGTTTACGCTGGGACTGGGGGAGAAGGCAGTAAAATGTAACTTTGTATTCAATACGTATCATGTCTTGGTCTGTGGCTGGCTTTGATAAATGTAGTCAGCCTGAGACCAGCCTTATCACTACTGAACACCTTAGAAAAAATAAATTTTGTGTTTTCAAAAAGATGTTTCATGTATAAAGCAATGGTGTTCGGTTCAGAGAGCTGTATGTTGTTGTTGTTTTAATGCTCAACTGAGAACATGTTTATTGATTTGAGAGAGAGGGGAAGTGAGGGACAGAGAGAGAGAAATATCACTTGGTTGCCACCTGTACATGCCCCTACCGGGGAATAAATCCGAAATCTAGGTGTGTGCCCTGTCCAGGGTGCAGCGCGCAAGCTTTTTCTGTGTACAGGGTGATGCTCCAACCAACCGAGCCACCGGCCAGGGCCAGAGGGCTGTGTGTTTTCGAGTGTGGAGACTCTCCGGCCAAGACCCAGGAGCTCACCTGGGGTGAAACAGACAAGTTCACTCCTTGCTGCCGCGAGGGCAGCGCCCACCCCAGGGGATTGTGGAGAGAGGGTGCTAGGAGAGCCTGGGGTGGGCGGTTTGGAGAGGTTCTGAGGGAGCAGGGGTCACTCTCGACAAAGTGCCGTTGGAAAGGAGGGCAGTTCTCTGGTGGAGATCCCCTCAGTCTCGTCTGCAGTGGGGAGCAGCTCCGATCAAGCTGTGACCCCTCCCTGTAGCTGAGAGGGGGTCGTGTTTGCTGCTCGATGGGTGCCACCGTCACCTGTTTTCTCTCTCTTCATCGAGGCCTCAGCTGCCCTTGCCTGAGGTTGGCGTTTATGCCCAACAAGGGGACAGCCCAGCCCACTAGGAGCCACAACAGTGCCCAGGGGCAGGGGGCCTTCTTGAAAGAATAGTAAGAGTGAATGAACCTTTTTAAAAATCCTCTACAACTGCTTTTCACATTGGCCTTCCCTCAGTGCAGGCTGTGGCCGGATGTCTTAGACCTTTCCAGGTCCACGCCTCGGCCAGCCCGTTTGCAGAGCTAAGCTATGTTTTCCAAAGCGTTTCCCACATAACACTGGTTTCCGGAGTTTCAAGGGAGTGATTGGAATACAAGGGTTCCCTGGACTACCGAGTTTGGGAAGCACTGGTTTCTTTGCTGTTGGGCTTCCCAGAGCCTTTAACATGCTCTCATGCATTATAAAATGCACAGAAAAACTGGGGTAGCTTCCCAGTTTGTTTTTCCTGACACTTGTTTGACTGCCGAGCCTTGGGGCTGGCGGGGGCGGGGGCAGGGGGCGGGGCAGTGTGCTGGGGGACAGAGTGTATGAAACGCTGAGATGAAGGGGAAACCGAAGCAATGTTGTCCGACTGGCTAGGCGTGCCCCGCCCCCCGCCCAGGAGCCGGGAGCAGGGCAGTTCCCATCGCACGTGCTCTGTCTCCACACGCGACCGGGCTCCTGTGCAGATGGGCGGGAAGTCGCTGTGATTCATTGAGGACAAATCTGTTGGCTGAATCGTTTAAGAGAAGTAGGTGCAGCCTCTGATGAACACGGAGCTTTCCATGCTTAGAGACAAAAGTGCTCAACACTCCTTGAGCCCTGCACAGTCCAGTCTCATCCCCGCGCGTCTGGTGGCCTCGGCCTGCTGCTCCCTGCCCTCCCTTGCACACGCTCCCACTAACAACAGGCCCTTCTCAGCACAGCCTTTCCACCGCCCCCCCCATCCCCACTACCCCGTAGGTGCCTACCCTCACTCCTGGGCATGGGGCAGTCCCCTGCTGCCTTCTCTAGAGGCCTTACGTAGTTTCTTTTCTAGCGCCTTCCACACTGGACTCCTCCCAGCATCTGAATAGGTCTCTTTCCCCATAGAAAGAGGGCCACACCTGTTCACGCTCTGTTGCATCCACAGCTCCGAGCACCCTGCTTGGCACACAGCAGATGCTCAGTAAACACGTGCTCAGTGAATAAAGTGCCTGTCAGGCCTCTGCAGCATATTTTAACACTTAAAAGGGTCCCAAGATTCAAGAACATTGGAAATCACAGGTTTAAAAAATGCATAAAAGTATCAATAGAAAAAAGGGGGGTAGTAACAATTGGTGAGGGGGGCAGTAGCCAAGGGGTACGGGGCTTTGGGGGAAGGGAGTAATGAAAATGTCCTAAAATTCACTGTGATGATGGTTTCACAAGTCTGTGAATTGTACACGTTCAGTAAGTGACTTGTATGCCATGTGAATTATGTCTTAGTACAGCCATTACAAAGAAATAGATGAGTCTGCTCTTTGCACTGTGATAAATTTTCTGTATGCTTTAAACTACTTCCTAGTCAGTGTTTTAAGTGGGTGCATCAGCTCCCTCTGTCTCCAGTACACAGGACTTGGGGAGTCCCTCTTTCCCTCCCTCATTCATTCTGAGCCACGCTTGTCACTACGACAGCGCTTTACAAGCCTTAATTCGCTCAGCCCTAGCAGGCTGCCTGTGATGGAGGTCCACTTAATTCATTCATTGCAAAAATGAGAAAGCTGAGGCCCACTGAGGGGAGCGGCTTGCCGAGCTAACCAGCAGGTAAGGAGAGGAGGCAGGCTGCATCCGGGACAGCTGGCCGAAGGGTCCAGGCTCTTTGCTACTGCGCTGGCCAGACCCAAGCACCAGCTTCAGGCATAGATGTCGGTTATGGGGTGTGGGTCCCGAGACCAGCCCTGGTGTTTTTTTAAGGGGGTCTAATTCAGTCTCTCACACATGTCTTGCCCACAGCACCTGGGCTGCCTCCTGACTGGAGGGGCCGCAGAAACCTCAGCAGCCCGTGTTGCAAGAGTGTGGCCCTGCCACGCGGCAGCGCTGGCAGCTGCTCAGGAAGACGCAGGCGCTGGCTGCCCGACACAGGTGCCAGGGCAGGGCCAGGCCAGCCCAGCAGAGCGCAGTGCGGACTCCGGCCTTGGAGCCCAGGGTGGCAAGACGTCCCACGGCGGGAAGGTGGGGGTCCCCCTCCCCGCCACCGGCAGTGAGGTGAGATCCTGAAACCAGCCTCCCCCACCAGTTCCCCTTCCATCGCCAGCGAAACGTGGGACTTCCACTAACGATTCCTTTTTGGGAGTCGCCTGTTCCTTAGCGCAGGACGTGGAGCGCTGGATTCAGGAAGTCTTCAGTTCTCAACTTCGCCTTTTCGCTTTTCTTATCAGAAAGGTGTATGACTAATCTTGCAAGCTGGGCACCTTGTCACTGTGGAACTACCTTGATGTTCACGGTCCCCGAAACTCAGCCCATCTCTCGTGTGTGTGTCGAGGTGGGGGCCTGAGACAAAACGAAATTCAGAATGAGAAGAGCTGAAATAGAAAAGAGAAGAGTTGGGGACAGGAGCTCATCATGTGGCTCCAAAGTTAAGACTGTCCCCTCCCGGTGGGGTCTCCACACAAGAGGGAGAGGGGGACATTCTAGAAGCAGAACGTACCTCAGAGGACCCCCTGGGGAAAGGCACCATCCCAGGTATGTCCCAGCTTCTGAGCCACACAGACCTGTCTCCACCAGTGGACGGTTACCCAGCACAAAGCTGCTTCTCCTCCACAAGCCTCAGTTTCCCCACCTGTAAATTGGGGCAACAATACTGCCCCGCCCAAAAAATTATAAGGGATTGAGTCAGCATGCCCGCCCATAAATTGGTACTATTAATTCTAATAATAACTCTGATTTATCGAGCGCCTATTCTATCATTCCAACAATATGATCCAACAGTTAGGAATTCTACCCCTATCTTGCCCAGGGAATTTCCTTATGTGATCGTGATAGTGATCCATCCAGTGAGGGAGGACTTATTATTTCTACTTTAAAGATGAGAAAACTGAGATTATTAGGGCCAAGTGGCCAGCCCAGATTGGACCTGGGTTTGTAGCCTGCTGCTTAACAACTTTGGGTCCCTGTTTCAGATAGAGTGCAAAACTCTGCACCCAGCCCAGCAAGGAACCAGTGCAAGAAAGGAGCGCAGGAGCTTAAGCTTCCCGAGCCCTGCGAGGCCTCTGCTGCGGAGCCAGATCCCCCAACACCGGGCAATCCCAGCGCCCAGGCCTCGACCTCCTCCACATGCAGGGGAACTCCAACAGTGCCCAAAGCACCAAGTGCATCTTCCTGGGGCAGCCAGCAAATAAATATGTCATCCTGGGGTCTTGCAGGAGGAGTAAAGAGGGGCCAAGGATGGAGGAGAACAGACATGGAAGTATGGAGGTGCCAAGGGGCGATACAGGCAGGAGCATAGGGCTGAGAGAGAGGTACGGGGCAGGGAGTCAGGGAGAAGGAGTTCGGACGGTGGATGAGGGGCAGCCAGGAGTGTGCGCCATGCAGTGCGGCAGCCACTGATGGGCAAGCGGAGGGTAGGAGCTGGGCACTGGCCTCATAAGAGATGGATTCTAGAATTTTCTCTCTGACTCTTGTATGAATGATGGGAAAATGCAGGCAGCCTGGAGACTAGCTGGGAGGTTGTCATGACTCAGTTTTAATTAATTTAAATTTGATTAGCCATACGGGACTCTTGGTCTCTACATACAGGGGCCAGCAGAAGTAATGCCTGCTTGAGTGTGGTTGGTAGGGTAATAATATGGGTGTAATAATTTATACTTTTAATTTGAATATTTCACCTAAAATGTCACATGGTGTGCTTGAGTGTGACATTGTTCTGTTACAGAATTACATGCTTATGATTTTGTAATTTAAAAAAGGAGCATTATTTGCGCCGGATCCTGTATATGGACAGCACAGCACTAAATCATTACAGGCTTGGGGGGGTTGTAACATGATCAGGTTTGTGTGGCTAAGTGACGACTATCTGGAAGGGTGGCCAGAGGTTTGCAGGGAAAGTAGTGATCACACCAGGGCAGTAAGGCAGACAACAGATGACAGTGGCCTGGAGGGAGCAGGGGAGCAAAGGCGACACTCAGTTTTCTGGTTCCCACAGCTGTCCTTAACTGAGACACAGAGGTCGGGGGGTGGAGCCACCTCTGGGGGTGATGGAAGTGGCTGAAATAAGGAATCCGAGTTAAGGCAATTTGAGCGAGGGCCTGTGGGCCATCTTGGCCGAGAAGTCAAGGGCGTGTTCCATGGACACATCTGAAATCTATCATTTGGCGCTGAAGACAGTGACTCAGAGGTCATCAGCCAACAGAAGTGGCTCTGTCTTCGGAGTAAATGTGCTCCCGTGAGAAGAGCCTGAGAGACAGCAATTCCCACCTGACAATGCCATGAACCTGAGAGATGTCAAGCACCAAAAAGCAAGGAGGGGAGTTCCCCTTGTCCGTGGTGGTGCTTTCCCAGACACCCGTGTAGCGGCCACTGCGAACCCCTGTACTTCTCATCTCAGCCCCCCAGTGCCAGTGGGTGCCCAGCATTTCTACACCTGAGGACTTTCTTTGACAACCTGTGTCTGCTTTGCTGTCCAGACCAGAGATTCCAGGGAAACCACGGCCCCTGGGAACAGCGCCTGAACATGCATTCGTGCCTCCTACCCTCACAAGCACCCTTAGAAATGGGTGCTGTGTGTATCGCCCCTGGTTTACAGACAGGAGGCTGGAGCAGAGAGGGATGGAGCCCCTTGCCCAATGTCACACAGCTTGTAGGTGGCAGGGCCAGGATTCCAGCCAGGACCCTGTCCCTGGGCAGCTCTCATTGTCAGCATGCCCCTGCCTCCTGAGGGTTGCCCCTCAATCTTGACACCAGCAACGGGTCCATGTGATTCACCTGCTTTGACGTTTGGCTGTCAGAACAGCAACATCTGTGAGTTTCGAACTGTTGCTTCCAGACTTTGCCCCACGCTCTCTGCACGCTGCTCCGCCTCTGGAGGGTCCCCTCGTTTCCATCTCCCGTCTCAAGTCCAGGGCTGGGGTGGATGCTTCACTGGAGGAAGCTTCTATCTTCACACCCTAGAATCAGGGTTTAAAAATAAAGAAAAATAAATCTTGGTTCAAAATTAGTCTTGGTTCAAGACTCGCTACAAAGAGCACAAGACACAGCTTCCTGTGGGTTTTTTTTTCTTCAGTTTTTTTAAGACTTCCAGAAAATTTCCTCTGCAAAGCTGAGACCAAAAGGGTAAAAAATGTAAATGTGATGGTCCAACCTTGATCAATCACCTTCTGTACCCAGCCCAGGAAAGCCACAGACAGACCCAGGAGAGAGAGAGCCACAGAAGCTGCGAATGGGAGCTGCCTAGAATTTTGGGGGTCACCAAGCCTGTAGACTCCTTTGACCCTGTGTTCTGAGCTTGGTGTCATGCTTAGCTCAACAGATGGATGGGTGGGTGGATGGATAGAAGAATGATGGGTGGGTGCATGGACAAATAGGTGGTGGGTGGATTGATGGATGATGAATGAATGGATGGATTGATGCATAGTTGGTGGGTGGATGGATGATGGATGAATGGGTGAATGAATGTGTGAGTGAACAAATTACAGTCTGAAAACTCCATCACTTGACCTGAATGGAAATGCAGCCAAATGGTTATAATTTCAGATTTGGGACTTACGCGGACCCGGAGCCAGACATGGCCCCTCACTCTGGTCTCACTGGCAGGGTGACCTTAGGAAAGGGCTCAGTCTGCTGAATGGAATCGCTGACCCTGCTTGTTCCCACCCCATAAAACTGAGATAATGTGTGCAACCAGAGACCCTGTGTGCACATAAAGACTGTCATTAGCTGAAAAAGAATCATCAGGTAAGGCAGTATTCCACATACCTCTCCCAGGGAAGAGGAAGCAGCTTCTGTGGGATTTAGGAGGGAGGCCAAGACAAATCTATGGGACAGAGGGAAATAAGAATCTAGTCGATAGAAAAGACAAACTTTTCAACACCCAAGTCTCCCTACAGTGGAATAGGCACTGTATAAAATAGTAAGCTCCCCATCACTTCACATATTCAAGGCCGTGAATGGCCAACTGTGGTGGATTCAAGATAACCACAAATTCTCTGATACCCATCCAATTAAGTGTTGGGGTCCATGTCCTCTCCTTCAGTCTAGTGAGTACAGTGCCTTTTTGATCAGTAGAACAGAAAGAGATGACAGTCTGTCCACTTCCAGAACCTCAGTTCTGGCAGCTTCCACTTCCTGTCTCTCAGAACACTGGCTCTTAGTGTTCTAGAGACACCATTCAAAAGGCCATCTACCCTCCTGAAGAGGCCCTGAGGCTACAAGGAGACTTGAGCCAGCTTTCCTATATCAGTAAGATAAGCAAGTGAATGAAGCCACCTTGGGCCCTCCACAGCAGCCCAACAGCCAGCTGAGTCCCACTGAGGGATCCCAGTCAAAGCCATGTGAAGCAGAAGAACCAGCCTGCTGAGCCCTGCCTGAGCTCCTGACCCACAGTTATAAGTCAGAATTAAAGGGGTTGTTGTTTTATACCACTGAGCCCAGAGCAGGGTATTTTGCAGCCATGGAAAACTGGTACACCAGTTGTTGTCGGAAATGCCACAGAGGGGAGGTCTGGCAAAGAGGAGGCGGTCTGTGTGGTCCATGAGACACTGCGAACCTTGAGCCTCGCAGTCATTGGCAAACAGAGTGAGCCAAGGTCGTGCCGTCTGTTCCCTCTGGACTCAGGAAAGTCACTCGTGCTGCGAACTTGCTCCAGCCGGGCCTCCAGCTCAGCTTCCGACCCAGAGAAATGCTTGTCATTTACCAAATGTTATGGCCATCGCGACACCTGAGGGAATTAGATCTCACCTGATAAACGGTTCAGAGTAAGAACACAGAATCTAGACTAGAGGAAAAGCACAAGGGCCAGTTCCGGAATGTTCCAGCTGCTTCAGAATTTGTAGCTTGCCCGCTCACCTGTTTATTCCTCTGGCTGTTCACCCAACCAAAATGAACAAATGTGCCAAGCTACTGAACACCTTGTCAGCAACTGTTAGCTTGAGTTTCTACAGTAAGCACAGGCATTTTAAAAATATCTTTGGCATTTTGAAGCACTCATATCTAAAATGAAACAGAAATTGGAAGCCTCATTGAGAAAATAATTCCTTTCCTCCCACACAAATTAACACAATGAGTCTGATAACGTTGTTCAGATTTTCCAGCTACAAATCGCCTTTAGGTCAAAGCCAGGAACTCAGTGTAAGCCAAGGAAAATTTCTTACTTCACTACACTAACGGCGGTTTCGAGTGGAACTATCTTCCTGATGGTGACAGCATCGTGGTTGGATTTTCACACCAGAGAAAGGAAGCACTGACTTTAACCTCAAAACGAGGAAGACCATAATAGTTGCAAAAAAAAATAAAAAAGCAATCTTGTAAACCATAAACCCCTAGCTGCTCTTCACTGTCTGGCCTGGGAACATGTCAGAGATTTTCTCCAAGGAGACAGACAACTCGGGGATGGCAGGGACGGCCGAGAGTTTGGCTCACAGGGACCCAAGACGGGAGGGGAAGGAGAGGAGGAAAGTGCCAGTGAAGGCGTGGCTGGCAGAAGCGAGGCTGGAGGAAGTGGCTTTGTGAGTCGTCGACCTCACAGCAGGCTGAGAAGCAGAAACTCAACTACACAGGGCACAGAGCTATTTTCATCCTTGGGGTTTTTACCCCATCTGGGCAGCACGGCTCCTGCATGACACTGTCGCGGCCCTGGCCTCACCATGATTTTGGGGCCAAGGAGAAGGCAGATCTGAGAAAGACAGAGAAGGGTGCATGTGCTGGCACCCCCCCCCCCTCCGTGGAACCTTGGCCACGTGAGGCCCAATGAGCCTCGATTTCTCCATTGGCTCATTAAGGTTCTGTATAGGTTTCCTCTTGCTGCTGCAACACATGACTGCAAGCTTGAGGCCTTAAAACAACACACATTTATTCTCAGTCGGAAGCCTGACGCAGCCTCACTGTGTCAACGAGGCTGGTTTCCTCTGGGGGCTCCAAGGGAGATTTTCTTCCTTCCTTCCTTCCTTCCTTCCTTCCTTCCTTCCTTCCTTCCTTCCTTCCTTCCTTCCTTCCTTTCTTTTTCTTTCTTTCTTTTTAAGATTTTATGTGCATTTATTTTTAGAGAGAGGGAAAGGGAGGGAGAAAAAGAGGGAGAAAAACATCAATGTGGGAGACAAACATCAATCAGTTGCCTCTCACACATCCCCAGCTGGGGACCTGGCTGCATGCCATGTGCCTGGACTGGGAATCAAACTGGTGACTTTTCAGTTCACAGGCCGGAGCTCAGTCCACTGAGCCACACCAGCCAAGGCATCTGTTTCCGTATCTTCCCCAGTTTCAGAGACGCCGCATTCCTGAGTCCATGGCCCCTTCCTCCATCTTCACAGCCATCAAGGTAGCATCTTCTAGTCTCTCTCTGCCCCTCCTGTCCCGTCCTTATTGGGATCCTTGCGAGGTCACAGGGGGCCGCAGGTACTCAAGGAGCGTTCCCCATCTCAAGGTCTTTAACTTATTCACATCTGCAAAGTCCCTTTTGCCATGAAGTTCACTCACTCCCAGGTTCTTTCTGGGCACTAGGTTACGGACATCTTGGGGGCCATTGTCCTGTCTACCACAAGTGCCTTCCCTCCGGGACAATCTCAGAGTCTGGGTAAGAGAGCTGGGTCTCCTACAAAACTTGCTTAGAGTTACGACAGTGGCTAACATTCATTGAGGCTGTCCCTTCCTCCCCATTGCACGGTGTCCAATCTCATCTACCTGCACCCCCACAACTTAGGTCCCATCCTTCTCTCTCGTCCACAGAGGAGGAGAGTGAGGCTTGGCAGTAGTGGTGGTAATTGACCTGTCCACGTTCACAGTGAAATGAATCAGCAAATTTGGAAAATTGAATCCACAGCTTGCCAGAACCTGAGCCCTTGACCATGTGGACACACGGCCACTCTGGTGTCAGCAGCAGGAATCACACTTAGCTAGTCGAATCACGATGAGTCAAAGACAGAAACCATGAGAACACCTACCAGTCCTAAGGAAAGGAAGAGTGGGCACAGCTGAAATTCACAGCACTTCACCGAGGAGCTTGTCTGACAAATAGACAAGGAGCCCAGACCCCTTAGCCATCAGAGAGATGCCAAGTAAGACCAGAACGAGGCATCACAACACCCACGGCACGGCTACCACACGAACGGCTGAAAGGAAAGCACCGAACGCTGGTGAGGAAGTGAAGCACCAGGAATGCCCAGGCTCCTGGGGGGGGGGGGGGGGGGAGACAGGAGACTACAGGCAGCCAGGCCGCACGAAAGCACACCTGCGGCTCGGAGACCTGTTTCTAGGAAGGATGCACACGGACTAGAACTTTGACATGGGACCATCAGTGGCAGCCAAAAACTGGAGACAAACCAAGCACCCGTGCATGGAAGATGGGAACAATCATGATGTAGTCACACCGTGGAACTCAATGCAGCCACAGAAATGAGTGCACGTCCCCGCAGCACACAACAGCCAGGGCGACACCCCGTACATGGGGAGCAAGGGAAGTCACACACAAAGGAACACGTGCGTGTCACCATGTATGTGTGACTTCCCCAGAGCAGGTGTGCGTTAAGGGGCTGCTACCGGGCAGGGAAAGCATAAGGAAAAGCAGGGAGGTGGTCACCCTAAAAGTCACGAGAGTGCTGTCCTGCCGACCGACGCCTTCCCCCTGGGCACAGACACATGAGGTCAGGAGCCAGTGAGCACCAGGAGTGGAGTGGGAATGGACCCTGGGCCTCCTTTGCAGCCCCCAAGGTCCTTCCACAAAACATAATGCCAGAGGGGAGGAGGGCTGGGGTGGGGGCAGGGTCTGAAGGGGTGGCTGCTGCTGAGGCCTGGCGGGAGGGAAGTGCTCTCCGCCAGTGTCACACTCAGGAAATGAAAGGCACACTTGAAGGAATTACCTTGAGTTTCAGAACCACCAGCGCCCCACACCTTCGCCAAGACTTCCGAAAAACCAGGCTCGTCTTGAGTACAACTCTGCTGTGACTGGAAGTCCTGCAGCTCTAACTGGGCCAGGCAGGTGCAGCTGCCGGGAATCTGTTGTTTTCCAAGAGCAGCCCATGTATGAAGGCCCTGGTTGCTGGTGGAGACCTGCAGACTGGCCCTCATCTGCAGCCTCAGGGGCATTTCACCCCCACCTCCCACCCACACCGAGCCCAGTCTGCAGTCCCCAGACTCAGAACCCCACCACTGGCACCCCCTTCAACCTCCTTCCCCTTCAGGGTCCCATCGACACCCCCTACACACACACACTTGGTGCCCACAGTCTCCATCCCCTCGGCCATGTCCTCATCACACCCTGCCACGTAGCTCATACAGTGCCTTAGGAAGCACAGTTTCTATGGGCAGTACGCATCTGCTCATTCATCAGAAACTGTCTTCTGGTGCATGCTCACTGTGAAACTTAAGAGCAAGACAGACCCTCTCCCTCTATGAAGATGAACGAAAAGTTGTCAAGGACAAGATAGCAAATACTCTAGGCTCCAGAGGTCAGGTGATCTCTTCCCATCTACTCAGCTCTGTCACTATAGCACAAAAGCAGCCACGGACAATATGTAAATGGATGAGCATGGCTGCATTTCAATAAAACTTTCTGATAATAATAGGGGGTGGGCCAGATTGGCCAGATTTGCAGACACCTGGTCTAAGGGAACCAGAAGAGACAGCACAGGAACCAGGACTATCACCGGCCAAAACTGGTGGTGCCCAAGGACTTCCACCAAGATGGAGGTGTAGGCACCTTCTCACACAACCAAGTTTAAAAACAACAAAGTTTTAGCAACAAAAACGCAGCCAAACCACAGAAAATTTAACTACATGGAAGTCTGACAACAACGAACCCTTTAGCCAAACCGGTAAGAGGGGCAGAGCCAGCAGCAGAGCAGGGTCGGGCAGGAAAGATCCACCAGACCGACCAG